TTCGGTTAGCCCGTGTTAGAGTTGGAACAAACATCATTTTCCAAAGTGAAGCTCGTAGCTCAAAATGAATGCTATTCTCGGACTTCTCTCCCATGTGTTCTAAATGTGTGGGTGAAAAGAGATGTGGCTTGGTCGAGTGCAGCGAAGACAGTCTGTATCAATAAAGGTCTGTTCATGACGAAACTTATCTGTCCTCTGAATAGCAAATAGTGTGTGGAGCAGTAGGTCATATAAAAGTCGACTTCTGTTGCAGCTTTCATTCAGTTGTCCAGTCTTCATCTGCACAGAAACCTTTCAATCTCTGCATCTTACAGATTTTAAATCTACATATCAAGTCGAAAACTCTAAACGCACCTTCATCTTTTTTTTCTGTCAAAATAGAAGTGTCGGAAAACAGTATGGAGATAAGGGTTCCATGGAAAGAGTCCCCGTCCCCTCAAGACGTAGCACTATTACAGGGCTTTACAGAGAGTCTTTTAAAGACCCGACTTTTCAAATGGAAAGAGTTGTGAATTTGATAATTGTTGTACCCTTCATTTCATGCTGNCCCCTCAAGACGTAGCACTATTACAGGGCTTTACAGAGAGTCTTTTAAAGACCCGACTTTTCAAATGGAAAGAGTTGTGAATTTGATAATTGTTGTACCCTTCATTTCATGCTGGAAAGCAGGTTTCTAATTCATTGATCGTATTACATACAAGGTGCTATAACTTGGAACAGATGCACGGTAGGATTTTCAACTTGGGTGATCATCATAGATGATTATAGTAGGGAAAAGCATACTAAAAAGGTGGGACCATTGGACGTGATACTTGAAAGTACCTGCTTCGGAGGCCTGTGCCGAGATATGTGTTACCCATTCTTATCAGTGGAAAGTCGTTCAATCACTTTTAACCGGAAAGTCGCTTTAACTTAAGACAGGCATCTGTACCGTCTACTAGAGAACTTAAATTCTGAAATGAAAACGGTGAAATTCTCCCTCAAATTTATTATTTGCAGCGATTACAGCCGCGTTTTCATACCATAAAAATTCCAGATGTATCTTTCTGCAGTCCTTCTACTAACAGTAGCTTCTGCGGTTCTCAACGTGGTGAGCTCAAATATATTCGCTTATATGTCTGTAAGGCCATTACTATGAGCATCATTAACATTTTTGCAAAATCTCCTCTTCTAGTAGGCCTAGTATGGTACACGTTGTGGATGAACCGTGAGCCTGTAGAACAAGCTTTTAACTCTAAAATCGCAATTCTGGACCTAATAAACCAGATCAGGGAAGAATGATTGCAACGAAGGCCCATGATTTAGGGTATCGCCGAAATGAAAATTAGTCCTATATGACATCGCGGCTCCCCGTAGGTCCCCCTCAGCCATAATGTTCTGTGCGATGCTAAAAGTTAACAGCAATATTCTTCTTCAACACACAAGATCCTTCCAGAATAGAAAGTTATTGGTTATTATAATAAAAGTGTGCGAGCGAATGCATGTCCATAGAAAGACTACATTTATTTCAGAACAATGCTGGAGTAGTGTCGATACCTGATCAGCAAACTGAACTAAAGAGCCCTGCAGCACCACAGGCACCTTCCATGACTGGTGACCACTACGAAGCGAGAATAAAAAGAGAAGATGACTGGGAGCCGCCAATGAACTTTGGACCCTGGATGGCTCGTGGATTCTTCGGCTTCAAGAAACCCAAAGCATAAGATGATAACAGTGTGATGTTCTTCGTTGTACCATGGGATAAATAATGAATTCAATGTCCAAAAATCTTTTTCAACACAATATGAGGAAAATTCTTGGGTGAGTGAGTCCAGATATGAGTGATGACGGACGTTGCATTTGGTGGTATTCAAAGAGACTCGAAAGTCATAAAGAAGTGGCTGTAA